AATATGATAATAACGTCGAAAGGAATCATCAGGAAAAAAAATAGAAAATTCTACGGAAGGAAATTTGTGATGTGTGAAAATTGTCCTTTTTGTAGATTTTCTGAAATTCCGCTCCGTAGAATTTTTTAAAAATCTTTGTGCATTTTCCTTTTCAAGTGCCAAAAGCAATCACTGAAAAAAATCAGGGGCCACCGGGTTAGTTTTCGAATTATTTAGGCCACAAGCTAAAAAATACGTCTGAATAAGCCTATGAACGCGTTGCCATGGAAACTGCTAGTGACGAAATGACACTTATTTTTGGATAACCGATGATTATGTAATTCAACCCCGTAAAAGTGTTCAACTGGCCTTGGTCAGTCTTTCTGTTGTATTCTTTCAAAGTTACAAGCCATCAAAAAGATGAGAACCGGTACGAGCCACCTTAACCGAATAGAAATCAGAAGCAGAGGACTGAAAAACTAAATTTTCCACAAGATTCAAGCAATTGCTAAATTGTATTTTCAATGTGCCACATTTGAAGTCAACCAAATATTTATTTGAGCAGCTTTTATGGAGCTGTTGTGTTAAACCATGTTTAACAAAACAGCTTTAAAGCATGTTTGGGCTTTGATGTGAATGGGGTATTAGTAACGTTTCCAAACAAGCGGTTTGAATAGGCTTTTGTCAAGGATTTCAGTGTACAGCACAAATATAGGTATTGTAGTTAACACCATCAACTGAGAAATTCTTTCTAGAACACGCATTTACCTAGCGTTGACAAAGTTCCAAGTCATGCTTCGGCTTTGGGAACGGTATGAAGGCTTTCCGACCGTTTTTAGGCATTTCTTTAAGCGAATCTGGAAATCTTTCTGGATATCTTGAGTCATTTTTACATGTACCCCAACAGCAATGCCTAGTTGCAACCATTTTAGAAAGTTAGAGTATTTTTTGACCGAAAATAGTCTTCCTTTTGACACGTTTCGCATACAACTCCTTGTAAAGACTCCGAGTGTTTGTCCTAAACCAGCAGGGGGTCCAAAGATGACATATCTAGTTTTAGACCGGGCACGCAGCGCCATTGGCTAATTTGGTTAGGCAGAAGACGTTAAAGAACCCACTCACGAGATTACTGTGATGTACCAGACCATGGCCTGTTTACTTGAATTGGAGGGGAGGGGGCATCTTCAAATAAGTTTCCTTCGATTGTCTGTATACTGCTTATGCAGTCCGGCCAAAGTCTCCCGAAAAGTGTTGTGATGCGCATTTGATCATATCCACATGTTAATTTGCGTAATATAAATATTAAATTATTATTATTATTATTATTATTATTATTATTATTAAATCGAATTGAACAATTGCAACCTACTAAGCCAGTTATGCTGCTCAATTTCTTCAAGATTCATAGCTAATGAAATAGCTTTCACTGGACCAGATGGAGAAATAGATCACTAGATTTCCAAAAATCCTTCGTGAGGGGATCATACCTGCACAAATCACTAAAGATTTGAAAGAAATGGGTGAATATCATAAAAATTCATTCATTCATTCCCTATCTTTGTCAGTGAACAGAGACTCATACGCCTTGCACTTAACAGACATTCTATCTCGGTGATCGTTGCTTAATTCTGTTGCAATATACTCTTTATTTAATTGATTTAGCCATCTACTCATCATTTATTTATCCGCCTATGATCTGGATTCATTTTCCTCTTATGCCAGGTCAAGTTAATACCGTAGGTAGCGTTATTTGCCACGCCAATCACACGGTGAGTATCAATATCAGCAACGTTGAACTTCTTAACACTTGGAACGAGTCTCAATGGGCAATAAAGCAGAAAGTTGAATGTCAGCCAACATTTGGCGACAGTGAAGTAATCTACACAAACCTTGTGCTACCAGACTGTGCTTTGACCGCAGAACAGCTTTCCAATAGCACAAAATACATTATTGAACTCAAGGCTGAAGCGAAGGCCGATGGTGACACAGGGCAGCTACGTGTGTATGACCACCTGTACTTTGTGGCATGTGACTATGACAATCAAGATAGAATATCAACATCTTTTGTACCACTCAAGAACCGGGCAGCAAATGCATCAGGTAAGTTGCTTTCGTAGTATTGATTGAAGGGCTTGTATCATGACTTGCAGCCGTGAATATGCATCCTGGTATCCGCATATCTAGGAATATACGTTTTTTAGCCTTGTGAAGCAAAGTCAATGGAAATTGAGGATTACTTTAGAAAAGCTTTGCTCATGACAGTTTGTCTTTATTGATAAACATGATGTAGATTTAATGTAATAAATTATATTTAGACCAGCTGCAGATGAAATCAAAGTAAAGCAGTGGTCTTGCATGTGAGGTCCGTTTTGATGTTATTTTTGTTCCGACGTCTTTTAATTTCTGCAGGCCAAGGAATCTTCACGTTCAGTTTCAAAGTTTACCTTGACGATGCTCACTCTATCGATGTCTCCAATCCGGTCGCATTAGACAAAACTTTGTATTTCAAAGTTATGGTCGAAACTCAAAGTGCGGTTCCCAATCTTGACCTGTTTCTTGAAAAATGTTGGTCATCAAAGAGCAACGAGGCAGGGTCATCAGAGGGAAAATTCAAACTCATAGAGAACGGGTAAAAATTTGATCTATATTTGATCTAATTATTCACCTACTGTATGCATAATTGTAGAGGGGTTATGGCTCGATACCTGCTCGGTCAGTCACGTGACAACCAAACGAAAATAGGTTGACCATATCATGGGTATGGAGCTCTGCCCCACGCGCTCGAAGCGCGCGTGGGAACCTCGCAATAAACACAACCTCACTCAATACATCGAACAAAACTTTTGTAAACAGCTTATCATCAAGAATGCTTCATTACTTGGTGGAATTTCGTGCTTTTAATATTCTTCCACAAAAACGTTCGTTTCTTCTTCTGTAACAATGGAAAAATGCTCTCCTATCTTAAACGGCTAGCTGAAGCATACTTTTTCATGTAAGGTGTTTAGAGGAGTACCGCGCGCAAGAAGATTTTCGACGGAATATGAATACTCTGAGGTTGAAAATAATTTTACATATGAACTCACAAATTTACGCAATTTATTTTAGATGAGGACTTTATGTTTCATCAACAGCTGCGGCAACTCAGTTACGAGTGAGGATGCTACTTTATCGTACAATTGTACAGAAGACGACAAAGCGGAAAACTTCGCGATTCAATCTTACCGATACTATGGGGCTACCGAAGGCGATGAGGTTTTTATCCACTGCGATCTCAAGGTCTGCTTGGCGGACCAAGGAAACTCTGCTTGTGAGTGCCCTACTGCTAGTGAGTGTCCAAAATCGAGAAAAAAGCGTTCAATAGTAGACGAGTCTGAGGTGTATCATGTGTCATTTGGGCCGTTTAAGTTTGAGAGCGACGAACAAGAAGAAAAAGGTTAGTGAGTTTCATGGCTTTCAAATAATTAATTTATATGTCTTTTCATAGATACTTATTAAGATTTAGTATATAACCGCTGACCCCCTACAAGGAATGCGGCAAGAGAATTCGTATCTGTAAATAGAATAAAAAAGATGGTAAATTACGAGTCTCTGTGGCTCAGTGGTAGACCATCGGAGCGCGGAATCCGGAAGTTTGAGGTTCGATCTCTCATGGGGACTCATGGGAATTTTTTGTAAGGTTTCAAAGAAAAAAATTCGGTTTCGAGAAGGCAGAAATTGTCGCTTACTTGTGATTTGTATTTTTCTTGAAAGACAACATGAATGCAACAACCCTAGAAATAAAACGCAGTTTAGATAGACTAACAGATAACTGGCTTTTGTTCTATTCGTTTCAGCAGGATCTGATCACCTGGAAGGGGACCAGTCTTTTACGACAACTGTAGCAACCATTGCAGTCGTCAGTGGTATTGTCGCCATTGCAATTGTGTGCGTGACCACCTTCTTGATCATGCGCAATCGCAAAAAATGGCGACAACATGAAGACTCAAGTATCGTTACTTAATCCATGGCCACTTAGATTGCGCTCTTTTAGATAATGTTTAATTGTGGACCTATCTTTTTGTTAAGTTTAGAACGAAGAGTAGATTTACGTTCAAACAGTTAGATGTTTCGTTCCCAATCCTGAGCGTGATAATTGATTCGAGCTTAGCCTCAGCATCAATCACTTGATTAGAAATGTCGTGCTCAAGATCTTATCGTTAAGTAGTGTTTTTACAAATTTCCTCCCGATAAGCCTTTATGGCCCCGTATGCCATGCGGATTATTTTAAAACATTCTCAGTTTGCGCAAAATGGGGTTTTTATCATCTAGAATTAGTTGGGTCAAGCAGTTGCAAACGATTGTTCGCCTGAGTGTGTGGATTGAGATAATGAAACAAAGTAACAATGCCCTAGCAACAAGACATTATAAACTGTTTATATTCTCTTTTGTAACAATGAATAAAGACGGGCTCCAATGATTAAAAAAAAAATTCTTAAAGGCTCATTTTATTACTTTATAATAAGATTTCGTAAATTTAATCACTGAGAATCTCGATTTTGAATGTCTCAAACAAACAAACAAACAAACAAATACTTTATTTACCAAGGGTAAAATACATTATTACCGGTTACCCGGTAGTTTACATAATGGCCCCCAACAAATCCTACTAAATATAAAAATACCTAATAAAAAATTCATAATACTAAAAATTGTACTTAAAACCTCCTACTGATCTTAAAATGCTCTATCGAGGTATTTTCTTTAATAAAATTTTTCAGTAACGTTATCTTAAAATTTGAGTGGGAAGTTATGTTTCTAAAAGAGTTTCCTAGTTTATTCCATAGCCTACATGCACTTGAGTGGAAAGTTCTAAGCCGTGAGTTTCTCTTACAAGATGGTGTTAGAACATCATTGCAGATAGCAGATCTAGTACAATAACCATGTGTAGATCTGACATATTTGAAATATGAACTAAAATATTCAGGACAATGACCTTGGCTAACTTTATGTAGCATACAAAGCTTTCTAACGCGTACAATGTGATCAATAGGTAACCAGCCTAATTTATTAAAAAGCTCAACGGAACTATCGTTGATGGTGGCGTCCAAAATTAATCTCCCGCATCGTTTTTGTACTTGTAACAACCTTTGAAGGAATTCGACCGAACAATTACCCCAAACAGTACAACAGTACTCAAGAATTGGCTTAATGAGAGCATTATATAACACTTTAATTTATTAAAAAGCTCAACGGAACTATCGTTGATGGTGGCGTCCAAAATTAATCTCCCGCATCGTTTTTGTACTTGTAACAACCTTTGAAGGTATTCGACCGAACAATTACCCCAAACAGTACAACAGTACTCAAGAATTGGCTTAATGAGAGCATTATATAACACTTTTCTATATTCAATAGTTAAATACACTTTTGCCCTTTTGAGGAGAAATATCCTAGAGTTCAACTTTTTTATAAGATAATCAATGTGTAGATCCCAGGAAAGATAGGGATCAATCACAACACCGAGAAGTTTTTCTCCAGCTGATTCCTCAAGTCTTACCGGCGTTGTCCAAGAAAAGCTCCAACGTAGTTATTTCACTGTGATAAAGTTTTTTCGCAGTACCAATAGGTAACTACTCTGTCTTTTTACTATTAGGTTGCATTTCATTAACTTTAAGCCAGCTATTCGCTTTACTTAGACTCACATTTAGAGTTTGTTGTATCTCATTTCGATGGGCAACACTTAACCAAATAGTTGTTTCGTCAGCATATATGTCATAAGACTCCTCCCGGTTAACTCAATGGATAGAGCGCTGGACTGATGTGCGGGGAGGTCAAGGGTTCGAGCCCCGGCCGGACCAACACTCAAGGTCTTAAAATAATTGAGGAGAATATGCCGCCTTTCTACAACATCAAGAAATGGTTTAGATGTTCTAGTCTTCTCGGATAGGAACGGATAAATGGAGGTCCCGTCTCCTGCAGGGTGAGGGGTAGGAGACGTTAATTTCCCACGCACGAGATTACTGTGTGATGGATGTCCTTCCCTGGGGTGGGATGGGTGGGTTGTTGTCTTGCGTTTCAGACATGAGCCTCTGGCTCGGAAAATATGGGTAACCATGCCCCACGTAAAGACATTAAACTTTGATTACTATTGGTTACTATTACTATATTTCCACTTCAGTTTCACTTAGCAAAAGAGGTAGATCGATCATTTAAACAGAAAAGAGGAGATGGCCTAAAATTGAGCCCTGTGGAACTCCTCTCTATAAGGACGCAGGACTAGAGAGCACACCAGAGACTGAACAAACTTGTTAACGTTTGGATAAATAGAACCTAAACCAATTCATAGCTGTTTGACTAGTGTGATACTTGGCGAGCTTTGCTGTGTGAATATCATGACTGACTAAATCAGAGGCCTTACTAAGGTCCAGAAAAACTGTTTCCACTAGTTTACTATTGTCCATAGCCTCTAGCCATTTGTCAGAGACATTCAATAGTGCAGTTTCACAGGAATGATAAGGGCGGTAGGCAGACTGATTCTTGTAAAATAACTTGTTCATTGTTAGATTCTGAAGATAGGATGTTGCTACATGTCGTTCCAAGGGTTTAGCCAGAATAGGCAAAAAATACATTGGCGATAACTTCTTCTTTCGTTTTTTGAGTCTTTTTTATGAAGTGGCGTTACCTTTGCTGCTTTAAAGGTAGTTGGAAAAATACCTTGATTGATGCTTGTGTTGTAAACATGGGCCATGCTCGTCGATTCGTCGGCAATGCCTCCTTCAATATCCGTATGCTGATACCATCCAATCCAATTGCTTTGTTTGATGGAATTTTCTTCAGATCTGCTTCAATGATTTCTTTAGTAATAGGCGGAATACAGAAACGAACTTCATCGTGTATAAGCGTTCTGACAAAGTTTGACAGAAGAGTATCAAGCTCAGACTGTGTGGTTACTAAATTGTCTGATGGCCCTGATGTTATAACTGACGAAGTTAAAAAATTCATTAAAAGCATCCGCAATTTCCGTAGGAGCACTTATATATTTCTCATTAACTTTGATAGTAGTTGGCGCCTTTAGAGATGGTTTAGCCGGTGCACTCTGTTTTAACAGCTTCCAAAGATTTCTTGTGTTGTCTTTGTTTTCTAAGATCTTTTCTTTGAAATAATTTGACTTTGCATTGGAAATTAGTTTGACGACCCTGTTTCTCACTCGTTTAGACAATATTCTTGCCAGTATATTATTCTTTGCACGTGCTTTAAGCTTGTCCCTAACACGTATCTGCTGAAGAATGCTATGGGTCATCCATCCTGGGAGTTGTTTGGTTTTCACTCTTCGAGTGAGGAGCAGTACGTGCTCGTTCATAACATTTGTAAACAAGGTATTCCAAATCGCAAGCTTGTCGTCAACATCGGAAAAAGCATCGAGTATAGACCAAGGAACAATATTCAGATCATTTATAAATTCTTGACCAGAGAAATTTTTGAAGCTTCTATATACCAGCTTTTTATGATGATGTTTGCGTATTTGCCTCTGCCAAATTTGTGCGTGAAGCAGATAGGATAATAGTCACTCAGTCCATAAACGGGGACTAGAATTTCAGTGATCCTGTCCTCATGCGTGGTGTATAAATGATCTAATAAAGTAGCAGTACCTTTACATTCACGAGTAGCGGTGTTAACTAATTGTTTCATTAAACGTTTTTTTTGCATAGATAATTTTTTTTTTAAAAGAGAAAATGCTATGAAAAAACCCATATAACAATAGATTGCTAAAAGTGTAATTTGCAAACAAAGCGTCAAATTATCACGGGCTCAGCTCTTGCTACAAATTAAACAAATACCACGACAATCGACGGTCGCTGTGATTGATTAAAAGGCTACTTTTCTTCAGACACAATGTTCCCGCAACTGAAAGTTTCTTCCATGAGATTTGTGTCTAATTTGATTGGATTATTTCATATAACTCCTTCTATCCCCACTTAAATGTCGGCTTGGCTTGCTCTCAGAGAAACAAAATTAGTCAGAATATTATAGTTATGCTCTCATAAAATCTCAAGAATATAAATTGACACTTTTGTTATATTACATTAGAACAACTGTTGAATTTGATATTGCAGCAAACGTTTTGAACCCGGGGGTAACATGTGAAAGTGCAGTGTGATCGGAAACAAAATTAGTCAGAATATTATAGTTATGCTCTCATAAAATCTCAAGAATATAAATTGACACTTTTGTTATATTACATTAGAACAACTGTTGAGTTTAATATTGCAGCAAACGTTTTGAACCCGGGGGTAACATGTGAAAGTGCAGTGTGATCGTCCGGGTGAGTGGAGTCCTAAGTAGGACTGGTGTCGGTGGTAGTGACTGACGTCATCATCAGAGTCAAGTGATTCTGATGATGACTTCCGCACAGGTTGTCGAAACGTCAGTCACTACCACCGAAAACAGTCCTCCTCAGGTCTACACTCACCCGGATTATCACACTGCACTTTCACGAATTTAATATTCATATCAACAATGAGATAGACTTGTGCGGATCAAACGCATCAATTTATTTCGTGACTGGTGATAACATCGGAATACGATAGACCGGTGATAACAACACAGATACGCCTGCATTAGCATTAGAAGTTAATCACTGACGAAACATGTACTGAGAAGTTGTTTACAAGAGGATTTGATGTGCACTTTAACCACAGAACCAATTCTATTATTTCTTAAGTCATCTCTTTTTATTCCCTGAAAAATGTAATTACGATAGCTCAATGTATTTAGCAAATAAGGATCTCTTTTGTTCAAGAAGGTTGTAATCCAGGAATTTTTTTTCTATGATTCTTTCTCTTGGACAGCATCTGTTGAAATGAAAAGACGTATTGCAGTATATTTCAATGCGTTTGATTCTATCAAAGGGATTTCTCTTCTTATTTTTACCCTTTGTTGTTTTTTCTATGAAAAATGAACTATTTTTGGCGGCTTTCTTTTTTAACGCAACGCTCCTCTCGTACCAGACTTCAGACACGCAAATTTTTTTCAAGATGGCGGCTATAAAACAAAAATTTAACTCACAACTCGCGAGGCGAGTCATACTGTATGTTTTTCACACATGAAAATCAATTAGATGTGAGAGCTTACATTTATAACGGTCGATAGTTCACCCCAGTGAGGCCCTCCCGTTAAAAATCCATAGAACACCATTAATTTCCATTCCCTTTGTTTCCATGACTGACCTGTCTTTGAGCAATATGAGAGCATTTAACCAGAAGCCTTTACCATTTTTAAACGCGACTGGAATGAAAAATTAAACTGTACTATCAAAGTAAAATCATCAGGTCTTACGTAATCAAACTAATACTAATGCTTTAAATACAGAATACAAATTGATCAAAGACTAGCGAAAGTGTTATTGTTGATGTTTTTTAACATGTTTGCTTGTGTTACCGTTTAATCGATAATGACGCTTTCTTTTTTGATTCATTGCTCTCCAAAGCCTTCCTTTGCTACCTCTCTGAATGAGTCGGTCATCCTCTCGAAAATGTCTTCCCCAGCGAATACCAGGAAGCCCCTGTTCCTCAGCTTTTTGGCAGTAAACCGTGACCGAGAGAAGGACGCAAGAAACCAAGAATAAAACGAACAATGCTTTGGATGACTCCATAGTTTCTGTAGAAAAAAAGTTCACATTTCAGACAGAGAGTTACAATTTTAAGTTCTTGTGCTTATTGATCGTATTAAGAGGGTATGAACTAATTTTAGACAGCATGCCCTTCAAATGATTGTTCCGCATTAACGTTTTGTCCGTGAACTAGTTATAACTTTTATTTTCCTTCATTCGATAGTCACTTCCAGGAACTAGCCCATATCGTCATTCTAAGAAAGAAATCGTAAGACCACAGAAAGCTCATAAACATGTGACACAAAAACTATAGAAAATATCAATATACGGGAACACTTGAGTTTTTGAATATGAGACACTTGACTATTAATTTTTGTGACCGTAACGCGTCTTAATGTTTCAAAACGAAAGAAAACAAAAGAGATTATTCTTTTGGCTCGATGTTATAAACGTATCGTTTCAAATCATACGGAAGAATTAAGGGTGCCTGAATTTGTGAAAAAGAAAACCCTCTGAGCCACGAAATTGACGCAAAGACTTTCAATAAAAAAACAAATATACACGCACTGTGAAAAACAGCTGGGTAGAAGCGATTGTTACAAGTATTGGAAACAATGATCCAAAACACCTTTAGATATAGGTAAAGAACACATCGCTAAAACAAATTCGATTCGGCTTTCCGAACACTAGTTAATAAATCTATCGTTCTTTCAGATGACTGACAAATTTGAGATATAGAGGGTCTCACATGTAATCTTTTTTGACTCCTGTTTTCGTTAAGTTAAAGTGAACGTTGATGACTTTCTACTGAACAATTCCTATTTTACACCTCATGTATCACCAGCAAAAGAATTAGCTTACAAAAGGATTGCTGACTTAAAGCTTTATAACCTGTGTTGAGGCCAGTGAAGTTTGCAATGATCGAGTTGTAATATTTTGACTTGAAAGGTCTGATCGATGCTTTTTGAAGGACAAGCTTTTAGAAACAAAGTGAAGCATTCTCATTGGTGGGAAGATAAAAAGATGTTTTTCTATCGTAACATTGTAGATAATCGATGGAAAGATTGATCCTACCTGACGGGCTGTTCAATTTGGATCTGTCTGCTCGTTCAACTTTCCAGCAAAAATGTTTCCTGGTTTTAAAACAGCTGTCAAGTTCTTGTCTGTTTCGAAGGCTTTTTTATATAAAGCTAAACCCTTGTCAGCCTTTTGCGGTTGGCCTGGTAATTAACTGCATGAGTTGCTGTTAATGAGCGCGGTAATTTCGCTTAATAAGTTGTTCCTTACCGGTGAATGTTCAAGATCCTCTATTTGCCGATTTCAGTCGCCTTTTTTGATGCGTTCGCTAAATCGAAGAGTGAGTATAGTTTTTTAGAGTAGAAACTGAACACATCTTAGCTTGTCAGTTTTGGCTCACATCACATTACTGTTAGCATTTCCCCTATTGCATTCGCTTTTTGGCAAATATATCAAGATGCTTCTGTCTTACGTTAAGAAAGAGAAAATATAAAGAACAATCTGCTGACAGCCTTAATTTTTATCTAATAGTCCGTGCGCAAGACAGACGTAAAAAGGGGTTATTAAAAACTTGTTAAGAAGCTCACGTTAAAACTACGACTGGAAGGGGAAAGCAATCATTATTAGCAGCTACTTTAGATCAGATCAAATTTTCCGTTTTCTCCGATCCTTATTTTAGCTCACGAAAGTTTAATTAACATCATTTGTGATATGTGAATTGTTCAAGATTATCCTTGGCAATTTTACGCATTGCGTGGAGAATAAACATCATTAGCCCTCTTTTCATTGATGTAGATGAACTTCTAAATGGCACGGAAGCCGGTTTTCCTCGTGCGTTTGTTTTCGTTAATGCAACGGTAAATACTCTTTCCTTCATTAAAATTTTCTTTCTTACGTTCTCTTATCTTTCAAATTTTCTTAATTACTCAGTTCATCGAGGCTTCAAAAGACATGAAGGGGCTACCAATGACTAAGAAGACATCACTTTTTAAGATCCACTTGAAGATGAGTTCTTGATACGAGAAATAAAGTAAACAAATCAACAACAAAAGAAGTGATTGCTGAAGGGAAAAAAAACGGATATCAAAACAGGCTAATGATTAAGAGCGCAAAAAATATATGTCTATTTTCTTAAAACTATTAAGCGCCCAATCACGTAACATGATTTACACAAGGGGAAAATACAGTCGCGGAACTTCATTCACAGAATCAACCTAAAGTGTGATAATTACCCATCATTCGTGGTTTCCGCCACTTATCTCTGAGTGCTTGGAGTGAGTTTATCACCAAAGTTCCACATCAACCTTACGGTGCACGAGCATTAACGAAGTTCCTTAGGTAAGCACACATGCAGATGTATGTATTTGTTGAGTGAATGTTTACAGCGATTTTTTTCTCATTTGACTTCATGTTTGGATCTGACGATTTTCTGATTGCAAATACGTTCAAAATTACTTTATCAATTCTGTGTATACATATAACACGCAACAGCTGTTAAAGTTTGGCATATTCATTACTCAGTTTGACCCGTTTTAAATTAATGTTGGCCATAGCGGCTTCATGAAAGGTTTTTTCTTCTCTGCCCTAGTATAGGAATATACCTTGAATAAACTGCAAAAGTAGGCCGCATGTCAAATCGGTAAAAGTGGGAAAAAGACAATCCATTCACCTTCTTTCTAGCCGCCTACGATACAGATGTCATACTAAATCCTAAAAATTGACCTCCGTCACTTTCTAGACAGCGATGAAATTACGAAAATCATTCAAGTGCAACTTCATCGCCTAGGCATATGCCTTCTTTTGGTGCACAGGTCCGAGATAGGCGATAAATGGTGCATGCCTGACCTAAAGCCGAAGGGCTTAACATCGGACCTCCCAAAATAATATTGTCTTTGCAACTTTGATTGATGATGTCCTAAATTGTCTTTAGGCGCAATGGTTCATAAATGCATCTTTATAATATTTCAGTCAATAGATTCCTAAGAGGAACGAGCACGCATGAAATCTGCGCGAGGAAATACTTTGAAGCACCCTGATCAGTCAAAAATCTCGACTTTACAAAGTGAAAAGTGCATTTATATTTCACTTATATTTCAGTAGGTCGAGTGCCCATTGAATATTTTTCAAGCGAGTCTGTATGTGTTGATATGAATGGTTTTTAGAGCTATGAAGTGGACGAAGGAAGTTTGGTCATGGTTTTAGAGCAAATCGGCAGCAATACCAGAAATAGAACAGGAGATATGTTAAACAGCACAATATGATCCCACATAGTTTCGTTGAAAAAATTGTGGTATTTTGTTTAGGTGAAAACACTTTTGATGAAGCATTATGTGACGAACGACAACACTTCATTAAAACCCACTGCGGTGTCGTAAGAGTGTAAATTGTTTTCAGGTTTACGATTGTCGGGCGTTAAAAATATGCATCGAAATACAAGCCCTTTCGCACGACACAAGCGCTGCTTAGATGTAAGTCAGATCCTCTCAGAAAATCTTATATTATGAAGAACAAATCGAGTTTAAACACGTTTATTTAATAACATGGACAAATACTGAATCTGATATATATTAGAGAGCTTAGCAACATTTTTTCCAAGCTTGGGACGTCGACTTCGTAAATTGATGTTAAATCATTTTCAATTGTAGCCATATCCCTTTAGACCTTTGTTTTCCTCTTCATCTACAAGAAATTAACGAAAGAACTCAATCAAAATCAATGATTTTAAGATTCAAGGAATCCCGTGACTCAGATTACTACAATAAATGGTGCAAACATCAAGTCTTCTCCCCAACCACTAAAAAACGAACGAGCGAGGCAAGAACTCAGAAAACAGCAGGAAATCATGGTGTGTGTGTGTGTGTGTGTGTGTGTGTGTGTGTGTGTATGAATTCCCTCAATCTAATTTTCATTCTCTGCAATTTTTGAAAACTTTTTCTCTAAAACACCATCATGTGGTTTCCAAATCATTCTACATATAGGGGATATTACAAGGCCGCGCGGGGATACGTATTTTATCTTCGAGTGCTGAAAGTATCTCTCACAAGTGAGCGCAGCGAACGAGTGAGATCGAGATACTTTCAGCACAAGAAGATAAAATTGGTATCCCCAAGCGCTCATGTAATGTTCGGTTTATTATATAGATACTGATGAAATTTCCACATAAAAGACAACTTTTTTTGTTCATTTTCGAAACAGCAATTGGGTAATTATGTTGGTAACCATGGCCACACCAATATCCTCACACGTGAAAGATAAGAATAGTATCTTCACTGCGCGCGGTGAAGATATGATTTTTTAGTAAAAGGAGAAATCCTGGTATTTCATCAGTATCGACATAATAAGAATGAATGAATTGGTAAATAATAGAAAAACGAATTAATCGTGCTCGTATATATATTATCTCAGTCATGCCTTTTGCTAAATTGAAGTTTTCCTCAAGAAATTTCAACGTTTTTCAATTTTGAAATAATTGTAGAAATGTTCCAGACACTCCTTGACCAAAATACTTATTTTTTTTATAAAAATCACCAACGCCATCAATTATGGAATGATAATGGAGGTATCATGAAAGTCCAACCAAAATTCGGAAGCTTTTGAAAAATGAAAACAAAAATAGGAAATAGAATAAGTTACCGAGGTATTCCCGTGTCTTGTTGTACCGTTGCTTGCGCCAATTTCTGATGTTCTCTGCCACAAACTTGTCGGGCAGACCGCTTTCCCTTTTACCCCATCGCAGCGTATCTTCTTGACTCACAGCTGGCTGGGTTAGAAGTAGAATTACTGCGCATGTCAAGAGCACAAAAGTGAGCTGGGACTTGGATACCATCTGCCAGAGCGAAATACAGCGACTCAGTCTTGACTGCTACTCGTATTTTCAATACTTTACGCTCAGTATAATGAGCCAAATAATACCGTTTCTTTAAAAGCACACCTGAAAAGAGTCGTTCCAATGTGGGCGTTTCACAGTTGTAGCAGAATGGTTAGTAATGGCAAGAAACAATTATCTTCTACTTCATTTTCATTAGTTTTACGCCGGAGGGCATAGGAAAATCTGTCTCACTTCCACATTTTAACTAATCCAATATTCTTTTAATTTTTTTCTTTTAAAAGCTCATATTTAACCCTTTTATGTGTCGCCTAGATCTGCAACACAATACGTTTGTTTTCGGCGTCTAATCGGATGGACTCTTTCACGGTAACTTTAATTCTACGATTGGCATTGAATTAAAAATTTTGTGCCGACCTTGTGTCATTTTTTTTTTAAAGATAATTGCCAATTTTTTGGGAAAGGTAACTCAACCACATTGGTGATATTAATTTACATGTCTTGCTCGAACTCTTGAAGAGGCATACTTGCAATTTTAAGTAGTGTATTTTCAAGCTACAGTACAAAATGTTCAGACGGAAACAGCACTGAATCCAGTTGATCTAAAAAATGGTTATAGAACTGAATACAACGAAAGGTTCTTTGTTAAATCATGACAAAAAAAGAAAGAATTAAAGCGTCAATCGTAAACGCACAGGGCACAAAAAAAAAAACAACAACAAGAGAAAAAGAAAAAGAAAAGTCTCTAAAGCTACAGCTACGTGGGGCAATTTAGGAGAACTGCTACGATTTACAACGTTCTTCCCAGTATTTATTTTTTTCTGATCCTCGTGTTTCAACATCTGGAGAATTAAAATGGATTTGCTCGCCGGACCTTCTCTTGCAAGTTTGAAAGAAGCTAAAAGAACCTGTTTGGTCGAATAAGCAGAATTATAGAAAAGGACTAATCCTTTTGTACTTTGAGATCAATACCATAACAAGCGAGTGTTGAGGCTAATAATGTGAATAGCTAGCTTTGAAAAACGTTCTAGCAGCAAAAACTCAATTGTTTAAGGTATTAGCAGTCCGCCTTAGTTTTAAGCTTCCAAGAAGTCAGTACAAGACAGTTAAAAACTTACCTTGAAGCGTACGTGAAAACCCTAAAATACCACAAGCACTTTTGAGGAACAAGCGATCGTTGTTCATATATATTTGCTTTCTGTAAACTAATTTACCGCTTAGGCGGTAAAACATGTTTTAGGTTGAGAACCATGCAATAAGATAATGTAATTAAACGCAAACAATACACTTGTCGGCTCGGAAGCGCGACGTTAATTTGCGGCTTTAGAATGTTTCCGAATACCATATGGAGATTCACATGGCATCGATTGCAATTGTTATTAATGAAATCCTAAATGACTGGACTATCCTTGATTTCTCTCAAAAAAGGGTTTAACTCATCTTAAATTAATCAAAGATGGCCAGAAAATTGTTTAAAGTCGATATGAGTTCGGAGCCTTCAATTTAAAATATTTCTATTTTATATCTACTAGAAGTTCCTTAGGTTATTAAAATAGGATTGATAATCGAGGGCAACGTTAAAAATGATTAGATTTTAGAGCTTTCTTCTTATGCTCGAAGTTTTATTTTTCAACAAAGACTTTGATTAATAAACAATAAAACCAGGATATGAGAAAAAGATAAACTTGCTTTCCCCAAATTTCCCTTTTTTTTTCTCCAGGCAGTTTTCAATTATTTCCCCCAGGGCTAAAAGAAATGTCCACAAATTTCCCACACTAAGTATCATTTGTTCCATTTGTGTACAATTACTTACAACAGTATTTGTAAGCAAACAATTTGATCCAGACTGAGTTTAGTCGCAGGACGCATGTTTTTGCTTTAACTGCTAGGGCAAATTGCAGGTGAGTCACGGTTTGCGAAAAATTTATAATTTGAATTGTTGTGGAAATACTCCTAAAGAGCAGTGGAAAAAGCTAGTAATGCATTGTATTGTTGGAAAAAATTTTCGCCTGCAGGATAATGTTGGCGTCGCAGTTGGACAAATTCAGGGAATAGTAGTAGTTAATCCTAGCAATGAAATGAATGAATCATATAGATGGAGCTGATTAGATTTAGCGGCTTCGAGTATCAATCAGCTATCCCCGGTTGAATTTCATGAAGTCTGAGGTTGCTAATGATCATCAAGATCCGTTGTCTTTTTCAATGAGCGACATAAAGCATTTTAAAGGTGATAATATTTTACTAAGGATCCTTCAATGAAAGCTTGCAATAGGAAATTAAGTTGGACTTGAAAATTACAATCCGTCCGGTTAAAAAAAAAATGTTTTAAACAACTTTTGAAATTTTCTTCAATTATTATTATCATTATTTCAAAAAAAGGTTTTATTATTTAACGCTTTTTTCGTGACCCAGACATCAGATCACTGATTCATATTTCACGGTATTGAGATTTTTCTTTTCGATTTAATAGCAGAAGAACTATTCTATCGTGATCTTAATGAAAATATGAGCGCCTAATTTTCAGTAATAAAACGTACCATTTAAAAATGCAAGGACAACTAACAGACAGACATATCAAACAGAGCTAACTAAGCGAGTAGAAGGTTTCCGTATTTGCATGCTAACTTTTGGTATTATTAGCTAATTTGAAATAGTCTGATGACCGAAGGACGCCGCCGATTGGCAAATATTTTAAATTTAATTAGCTACTTAATGACCATTTGACCACTCCATCAAAAATGATTGACCCAAAAGCTGCATAGGTGGGTAATATCATATACCATCACATTCTCAAAATCACTGGCAATTGCAAAATATTGCTTTTATCGTATGACTAGAACGCAGAACGCTTCACTCCGACGTTATAAATTTGACAAAATTAAATGGGGCCAAATCCTGAGTCGCAGCCGTTAGATAAAGCCGTTCTCTCTTTATTAAAGATGGGGATTTCAAAAGTTTTTAAAATAAGACAATAAAAATGATCAGCTACAGAAAAAAATGGACTGGTTTAGGTTGCCATAACCTGCTTTTCTATCCTTTAAATTTGATTTTAAACATGGCTTCGAATCCGTCAAATGACCGGAAACTTTCGAGAAACGAGCCGCCTTGTACCTTACTGAGCATGACTGTGCCGCATGTCAGTCAGGGGTTAGCATCTTAGCAAGGAGGAAGCTCTACAATAGTTGTGTTTTTGTTTTTTTTTTTTTACTCCTTTTCTCTTTCTTGGTTCGACGACCTATTAAAGGCGCAGAAAAAAGAAACAGGAAAATCAAAAAGAAAAAAAATAGAAGTGTCAAAGGTAAATCATTATTTTAAGCCCAACCTTAGCATTTCATTTTTAATCATTTTAATTACGTTCGTTTTGCTAGATATGAAGTTCAGTTTTTTGTATCCTTATTTCTAGAAGTTTAGTAATATTAAAACACTGTATTATTTACAGTGAAAAAAATGAGTAATCAATTGAACTTCAATATAATGTGTCAAATCAAAATTTGTTTCCAGGGGAAACGTCTCGTTAGTTGCAGTATTTCACACGATATATTCAGTTCAAGAATGTTTTAGATTTGATATTGGACGTACGCCTTTTTACTTGGCTGATTCATTAAGTCAGCACATTCGAAAGCTTTACTGGTTAAAATATTGGATATCAAGGTATATTTTTGTCTGGAAAGAAGGCTTCATGCATTTTACAAACATCCGAAAGAAGATAAAACTTAGGATTCAGTGACCAGGCGATGAATTAAAACGAAGTATGCCCGTAGGCTGAAAATTCAGGTTTAGCTAAGGAAAAACAAACTGTTGGGACCAAAGGTGCCACTGATAAGTTGAGAGTCCTTTGCAGACTCTGTAAGAAACCTATAATAAATTTACAAGGCTCTATAGTATACTTTTCTTACTGTTTTAACGCTCTTTGATCAAACTGCTGATTAATATTATAATTTGAAATTAATCAAAATTTTAATTTCAAAACCATGCTCTCGGCATTTTTCTTTTCCATTGAACCTGACCTCACGGTAATATTTAAGTGACTGATAATTGATTCGTCAATAACAAGGACAGATGGCAGTTTTTCTTTTTTGAACAAAGTTACTTTGAAAAATCTGCTCAGTAATCCTTATCGCTCACTTCACAGGGGAAATGTAATCATAATTCATCTGCTTTCCCGCTAGGTGAATAATTTCTTCCAGAATTATCGAGTCACGGCATTCAAACCTCCACGAGAGTTTGCCGAATCTTTTTAACCAGCAGTGACTCCTTGACAAATTCAACAATTTACTTCTGTAATCAGATTTAAACCTTGTGAATTGGAACGCTATCTCAAAGATGCCTGCACCACTAATGGCTTTCTTGATCTAGTTTTCTCATTATTAGATTGGTATCTGTAACTTGATATCTATGATTATGATAAAAACTGAGTCATAGTTTATTTCGAAAAAGGCTGATAGTTTCGAAAGAAACTGTTAGGGGCTGCGTCGGTGGGAGTAACGAAATAATTTGGATATATCAACAAAGGTGAAACGGTAAATTGGCCACCGTAACGATTACAAAAGCTGACGTTTCGAGCGTTAGCCCTTCGGAGCTCCAACGAAGCCCTTCGGAGCTCTCGAAACGTCAGCTTTTGTAATCGCTACGGTGGCCAATTTACCATTTCAACTTTGTTGGTATATCCAATTTATTTCGAAAAGGTTGTGAGTGTTTTCTGCCATGTCACTGAAAACTAAGGGTGTCATTTATAATTCTATATACTTCGGGTGGTAAAAGCAACTCATTAGACGAGAAACTGCTTTTATATCTTATTCCTTTTATTCACTCACACGATGCTTTCGACATTGCTAATCCCAAGAAGCTCGTTGGACATGAATTTAATTCAGGCCTACATGAAGTTCAATACAGTGCTTTCCGTAACTGGTCGAGTGTTGCAGCGTAAAATCCAAGGGTCTGAGGTTCCGATCCTCTGGGGGAACTTGGATGTTTCCCCTTACCCANGTTTCTCGTCTAATGAGTTGCTTTTACCACCCGAAGTATATAGAATTATAAATGACACCCTTAGTTTTCAGTGACATGGCAGAAAACACTCACAACCTTTTCGAAATAAATTGGATATATCAACAAAGTTGAAATGGTAAATTGGCCACCGTAACGATTACAAAAGCTGACGTTTCGAGCGTTAGCCCTTCGGAGCTCCAACGAAGCCCTTCGGAGCTCTCGAAACGTCAGCTTTTGTAATCGCTACGGTGGCCAATTTACCATTTCAACTTTGTTGGTATATCCAATTTATTTCGAAAAGGTTGTGAGTGTTTTCTGCCATGTCACTGAAAACTAAGGGTGTCATTTATAATTCTATATACTTCGGGTGGTAAAAGCAACTCATTAGACGAGAAACTGCTTTTATATCTTATTCCTTTTATTCACTCACACGATGCTTTCGACATTGCTAATCCTAAGAAGCCCGTTGGACATGAATTTAGTTCAGGCCTACATGAAGTTCAATACAGTGCTTTCCGTAACTGGTCGAGGGTTGCAGCGTAAAATCCAAGGGTCTGAGGTTCCGATCCTCTGGGGGAACTTGGATGTTTCCCCTTACCCACACTCGAAAAAGAACGAATAAAATTTTTTCCAAATATTTATGATATAAAAGGATTCATCGTCCGTTTACTTCACTGAACTCAAAAGTAACTATCTTTCACTGGGCCTATATGATTTCTCTGCTCGGGCTCGACGCTAACACTAGCGACTAAAGCACGTAAGAGGCCGGAGAATTGCACGTCTATGAAAAGCGCTAGCCTCGCTTGTAGTACAAACAAATGATTTTTGTATGTCTTGCACAAATGATGCTGAGACCGAATTGAGACCGAATTAAATTTGACACCCTTTGAGGCGGTACAGAGCAGCGAAGTCAAAGTTTTCCTTTTGTTCTTGTCCCTAAGAGAACTTCTTCTAACTGGCTATTTGTTTTGTCTAAGAAAATAGAGTGAGGTTCTTTTGTTGACAGATTCCCAAAGTAGTTGGAATTTCAGTATTGACCTGTGTTGCACTTTTTACCTACAACCGTTGTCCTTTTTTATAACGAAAGGCAATTGGGCGAAAAACAATTGAGCGGAGAATTGAAAACCGCCTCAAGGAATTAAAACAGGAAAAAGAGAGATGCTGAATCAACTTCTGAATGAAATCCGGGGAGTAGAGATGGCTATTGGTCAAATGAATAACGCTTAATCACGATATAGCTCCACGTTCAGCTCTCAAACCTAGCGTCACAGATGTAGCTTAAGTTTTTTGATTGGCGTACTTACTTGGAATTTTTTTTTCCATTTTGTTGCCGTTTTCTATCTCAAGAGAAAAACTCCATACTGATCCAATTTATGCATTTGTTCATTTAATTCACTTTCATTTGAAAACTTGAATTGGTCATGAAGGACAATCTCAGGTGTTCGTCCCGTCGTACAACACCATTTTTACTTTGTCAGTGTCTTTCTCAGTTTCGTGAGTTGTATTTTTCCTACCACACGGATTGTTTAATAAGCCATTTTCTGTTATCTTTCGACCATAACTTAAAAGTTGCACAACTCTACTATCCTAGCATCATCGGATGATATTTTGAAAATCTTTCGATGATGTAAGATAGTTCTAAAAAATAGAACACCCGCTCAATAACAGCAACAAAAGAGTAAATGAATCGAAAAAATAAAATGGTTTCAGGGCTTAAAAATGGCCTCCAGTATAATAAACACTGAATTGATAACTTTCCCTGGTCTTCATTTATCTTGACTTTTTTTTTTTGTTCAAGATCAACAGACTTACCTTTGATGACGAAACAGTCCTAGTCATATGTTTGCATGAAACATTTATGTTGCCCACAAGATGAAAATGATTATGAAACTTTCTATCTAAAAGCTTATTGAATTTTCGTTCCTCTTACCACATTTACAAGGTAAATACGCATACAACCAGGCCAAAAGAGTCAGATGATTGCCAAAAGAGAGGGTAAAAGAGGAATAAAACAATAAGAGGAAATGTCGAGCAGGCCTGAACAAACTGATTTTCTGCTGCATCATACCCTTAGTGCACGATCCAAAGATATAGCCAGTTCAATTATTGGCATTAAAATCGTTTCATCTGTTATTGACTCAGAGAGGACTAAATATAGAGGATATTTATTCAATCTAGCAGAGTAACTTGAAGCCTCGGGTGACATCGATGTTGGCCACAAAAAATGCTAAATAGACTTAATTGAGAGAGGGATTTTACAGCTCCAACAGCTCCGACTTTGAAGTTGTACTGTAGTCTAGGACTTTTGTGAAGAAGCAAGGCTCATAATTAAACTCACTCGAGAAGTATCCTCTTGCACGCTGCAAAATAGAAGTCCGAATAGGGGTCCTCAAACTAATAAATATCTCATAAGCCGCGATAAAAAAAATGTAAATCGTTTTTATGTATTTTTCTATCGATTTACAAAGAGCTAGCTTTCAAGTACCCAAAAAATATTGCAGTCACGTAACCCACGCTAACAGGGAAATATAAACACTTAACCTCAAAACGTACGAATTTCATTATACTTTTGAAATCACTATTGATCAATAAAGCTCTATATTAGGACTTCACATCATATTTCATATACTATTAGAATTTGAAGTATTGTGCCTTAAAGAAAAAAAAGTTTAAAACCCTCTTTAAGAATACATGAATTCCTTGGGAAAAAATAATCCATAACATGTTTGGCCTACATACCCCAAGCTAAGTTTAAGGAAGAAAGTTCGTAAAAAGAATGATTTACCGATGAAATTACCAAAACATGATTTATCATGTAGCTTCCTCTGAAAGACTCTCTCGTTAGTATGGCCACTGGAAAAGCTAATTTTTATTTCAGCTAATCTATTTTATTAAATCAAAAAAGAGAAAAAAGGGTGCACTCTTTTCAAAGGATGTTAGCAGAAGACGTAACTAAATTTTATTTAAAACAGTAATTTACGGGGAAATTATACTTTAAGTTTAAACAAGAATAAATCAAAGGCAAAAATGCGAACGGAGTTTGTCAATTTGTCATTTAGTTCACAATCAGGTTGCTATCCTGTTTGTCTTCGGAGATCAGACTCAATTTTACAATTCTGGTCAAATGTGACTTTCACTTTGTAAGCGAGGATAAACACGTCAAGTCTATGGGAAAGTTAAAAGTTGTATAAGAAACGCTGGCGATAGTTCAGTTGAGCCAAAGTCTTACAATTTCATTTTATTCAAAGGCTGGCTAAGTCAACTTTTTTGTGTTATGTCGGGGGATCTTAGTAACTCAATGCGATGCCTTCTTTTGTGAGGAACAGTATACACGATAATGAAAGTGAGCTCTTAATCATAAGTTATTCACATGGCATGAAGTCTTATGCTTGAGGATTCAGTGATAATCAGCAAGATGCGCGCTGATGATAATACTTGTCTGCCCTCATTTCCGTTTGTACAAACAATTTAGTTCTTGTCAAATGGAAAATTTTGCATGCACAATATTTGATTTCGACAGAAAACTTAATGTTAATTGTTGTAACGAATGATTTGTGACAGGATTTCGTCTAATACTAGCCTTTCCTTTTTTTTCATAAAAATTTTGAAAAAGAGTTTTTTTTCATAACTATTCTGGTGAGGTGTTTTTTTGAAATATACCTTGCAGGGTTTTTTAGTCACTAACCATGCATGAGATAGCGGAGATATCAATGTAGGCTGATTATTTACGATATTGGCACATTCTGTGCTGATCTATATATTTATGATCGTAGACATAATGTCGATGTTCTAAGAGATTACAATCTTACGTTTTATGCAGAAATCCTTGAACGAAAGAGCCTAATTTGTAAAGGATGTGACGCATAGTTTTAAGCAAATCTCACGAGAGGTTTAGTTACACTGCGGAATCACTTAAGTGCCTTGAGGACGGATTACTTCACGGTTAATTCTACGTTTCCTTTACGTTCTTCATTTCAGTTGTTTTATACTAAAGCGCGACTAAAGAGTCCTTTTAATTCAGTCTAGAAACCGGTAATAATTTAAAGATTTTGCATTTGAAACTAATCAAGTCCTAGAGAGGAAAGCATTTCACATTCGACTGTTAAACGGGAAGGTTTGAATAGGACAATTCGTCTTTAAATAATTACTTTCAAGATCGATTGATCGGAGCCTGTTTGAGAATTTAGTGCGTATAAGTACATGAACAGTTTGAATATTACAAAACCAACAGAGCCTTCTGATAATTATTTCTTCAGTTTGATGGTTTTAAAAGGAAAGATGGTAGACTAAAATTAAAACTAGTTCACGATAAAATGAAACATCTGCCCTTTTTTATTGAAATTTAAACGTTTCCCGACGACACATAAGAAAGATTGAATCTCTTAGATACTAATTTTTGTGATATGGATTTGTAATAAACATTCAGGAAAAAATTAAGAATCATCAAAGTGTCGATGACAAAATAAGTCTCCCAAAAGGGTGTCGATGGTTTATTTCCCGTGTCACGACAAAGGCAATTTAGAGGCAAATTAGCCTCGAACAATACAAAACAAGAAATATTTGCAGAGATTCAATTTAGCTATTATCTTTGTATAACCAAATTTTCACTTTATGCAGGCGGTGTAAAATAATACTTCCTCGGCGAAAGAAAAAAAGCATCATTTATTCGTCTCTTTTTGCGTGAAACTGATCGCATGATAGTTTTGACGCCTTTAATAAATTCAAGATTTAATCTGAACATAAAACGCATGCAATTAAAAAACTCAAACCGCGACGCGTCTCAGAGTAAATTTATTTTTCTTTTACGAATTTAGGCTTTTAAATTGGCTGAGTGTCAACACAAGCTTATGAGACATGTTGTCTTATCAGTTACACTACCACTGACACGATATTTACTTGACAAGCAAGGTGAATTCCGAACCCTTTTTCGCTGTCAAAAATTCTGCATAGTCATTGTTCTAGCTGCGGATATTATCAAAGCAAATTACGTAGCACCATTTAGAGGCAATTTCACCCTTTTAACCTGTCTAATGTGTATAAACGAGCCACATTACTAGAAGCACTGGCCATATAAACAGCTCACTGATAGGATTGCGGAGTTGCATTCAGATCAACGGGATTTAACAAGAACACAATTTATCTAACATATTTCCCGGTAAGAATTTTTTTTCTTTTACTGACTTGTGTAGCGTCGATTTTTCAGAGGCTAACAATCTAAGCAGTTTTTTCCGCTTACATTTTTTATCACCACTTTTCCTAACCGTTTTAAAATCAATCGAAGGCAAGTTTATGTTCGATTTTTTGAGTAATTCAACAATAATCCATAAACGAGTTTTTCGCCATTATAACCCTGGCTTCAAAAAGTATTTCATTGAAGATAAACAAAGGACCGACATCGAAGACAACCTCTAAAATAGTTTATACATCTATAATACTGTGAAACATCAAATTGAAAGTTTTGGATATCTCAGATATATTACACTGTATTCCTCAAGGTTTCCAAAAAAAAGTCGTATTTAGGTTGTTGTGTTGTAAAAAAAGTTTCTAGTGCCTCCAACTCCGCGGTCTAACGCTAAAGCAGCCGCGCAAAGATACTGGTTTGTACAATCTGACACTGATTCTTAGATGAATTTACCTCGCGAGCCATCAAATGGAACTTAATTAAAGGGGGAGCATTCTCGTGCTCTTAGGATTTTTTTTAGTAGCCTTTCATCCTTCCTTTTCATCTTTTCTGTTTCAGACAAACAAAAGATGGAAACCAAGACCCTAGTAGCTTTGTTTTTGGTTTCGTGCATTTTTCTCTCCGTTTGTTTTCAACCCGCCGCCTCTCAAGGTCTCCGATGGGGAAGAGAATATGAAGAGAAAGAAGAAGGCCATCGAATGAATCCGGTGAAGGCCGATTATCTCAAGCGAAAAGAGATGCACAGGACATTCGAAGACGCCGCAGAGAACGGTTAGAAATTACAAAAAGGGTCTAAATAAAGTCAACGAAAAAAATTAGTGCCGAACAATGTTGTTAGTGAATAACAAATTCCTGGATCTTTCAGGTATAAAACGCAGGAAAATGACAACGAAAATATCACCAGTTTGAATTCGCATCTTCATGGTTTGATCATCGCCATAGTTGACCACCCACCCATGCTAAACCATTGCCATCCATACCCCCCTCTCCCCTTCCCTCGTTCTCCTTTGGTCTGTTTTTACCTCTTTTGTTTTTCTCTTTCCAAGAAAACCGTTATATCTAGTTTTCATTTGATATTAAGGAAGATATTTATGACTCAAAATATATTGACATTGCAATATTCAAGGAGATAGGCAAATAAAGAAAAAACTTCACGCACTCTGGCCTTTGCGGCGCGTCCAGTTGGTTGTACAATTAATAGACTGATGGCCGAACATTACTATAGTAAACCACGTTACTGAGATAAATTCGGCCTCCTTGTTTTGTCTTTATCCAGCAGTTTGATGCCGTAACTCTTTTCCGACTTACTAAGATAATATGGAATACTGAAAGGTCCACTAAATTTTTACTTAACTCGTGAATAATTATTTTTGCATTGCAGCCGACTATGATTTGAACAGACGCTGATTTCTACTGGAATATCCGATACACCAAAATGGACTGGACTGGACATTTGATTAACTGATTGAGCTTTCGTACCCTGTTACTATGGAAAAATTTACTTTTAATTGCTGCATGAGTACCCTGTAGAGTAGATGAGTTAAGCTTGTAAATTAGTTTAAAATCATAAAGCAATAAAACGCAATCTGAACGATGTCAGAATAAAAAGGAACGAGATTTTCGTGTAGTGATAGCTAAATCCTAAACCTCTTGCACAAAGGAAGGAGAGGGCCAGGGTTCCCTAAGTCAATGAAAAACGTCTGAAATCTTTGAAGCTTCCGAGAGTAACATTTTGTAGAGACTATAGCCGTTGCTGAGCTCACAACTACTATTCCATACCGCAGGGTATGTGAAGCTTGAAAAGTAGATGACCGTAATGGGTCATTTAGAGAAATTTGATAACAACCCACGTGTGCCTATTAACACTCCTCGGCAAGAAGACGTCGTGGGAGTAAACTGTTTTACAACGGTATTTTTTTCCTTAAAACCCCCTCTGGGATAATAAAACATATGATAATCACCACTTTTATTAACCGTTTTGAAATCAACTGAAGTTATGTTCATTTTCGGTTTTAAGTGTTTCCAGGGAAGGAACTAAGTTATCATCTCACTAGAATTTGAAACGCTTATTCTCAGTTTTTCGTTTTTAATAATCGAGTATTCCATAAACGAATATTTCATCATTTATTGTGATTGAAAGTGTCTTAAATTTTTGATTCGTAAAAGGAAAAACATTTGCTTTACCTGAGGTGACATGTACTCTCAGGATCTCCCAAAACAAGAAGTTTTAGATATCTTAGATATATTGCACTCTCGGCATTTCATTTTCTCTATTGTAATGTAATAATCGTAATGGCTCATATTGGAAATTTGATAACAACCTACAAGCGCCTATTACTCCTTGGTGAAAAGACACCACGGGGAAAAACTGTTTTACAACGGGTTTTTCCCACCAAAACACCACGAGATAACAAAACAAATGATATAGGTATGGCCATATAAAAAGCTCAATAGGATGCTGAGTTTTATCATATAAGGGGAAAAATTACTGAATTTAGATTGGTCAAGACGGAGGGCATTTTTTCTTAATTTTTGTTATTGCCCCGGGAAAAATTACTTGAAAATGATTGGCTGAAAATCGCTTAGCAACGGCTGCCAAGGTAAATAAATTTCTGTTTGTTTTGTAATGGCGTCCCGTTTTGCGCGAGATCAGTAAGAAAACATTTTGCTCCTTATATTATAAACAAGTAATCACATGGTTCCTCGCAAAATTAAGCAACTTCCGAAAACACGCGTGATATTAATCCTTAATTTTACTCGGCCCCATGCGATTACCTATACGTATTCAGTTCAACAGGATTTAAGAAGAACACAATTCATCAAACATATTTCCCGATAAGAAATTTTCCTTTTTTTACCTACTTAAGTAGCGTCGGTTTTTCAGAGGGTGACCATCAAGGCAAGTTTTTTCATTTTCTATATTATTTTATTAGTACTTTTGTCAACCGTTTTAATATCAGTCGAAGGCACGTTTTACGTGTTTCAAGGGCAGGAACCAAGTTATCATCGCACTAGAATTTCAAACGCTTATTCTCAATTTTATTCTCACTTTTCTTTTTAAATAATCGAATAGTCCATAAACGAATATTTCATCATTGTAACTGTGGATTCAAGAAATCTTTCACAATTGATAAACAAAGGACCGCTATCGAAAGCACCTTTTAAAATAGTTTATACATCTTGATGTTGCGAAATATTACAATCGAAAGTGTATTAAAGTTTTGATGGATGTCGCAAAACAAGAAGTTATGGATATCTTAGATATATAACACAATTGGCGTTTCACTTTCTTCATTGATTATTCTACAAGATTTCCGGAAGATAAATAGTGTTTGAGTCGATGTGTTGCAAGCAAGTTTCTAGTGCCTCCAACTCAGGCGTCTAACGTTAAAAAGATACTGGTTTTTACAGGCTCTGACACCGAGTCTTAGAGGACTTTACTGCGCGAGCCATCAAATTAAACTTAATTGAATGGGAAGCATTCTCGTGCTCTTAGAATTTTGGTAGCCTTTTATCTTTCCTTTTCAACTTCTCTGTTTCAGCCAACCAAAAGATGGAAACTAAGACCCTCGTAGCTTTGTTTCTTGTTTCGTGCATTTTTCTCTCCGTGTCTTTTCAACCCACCGCCTCTCAAAGTCTCCGATGGGGAAGAGAATATGAAGAGGAAGAAGATAACCATCGAATGAATCCAGTGAAAGCCGCCGACTATCCCAGGCGAAAAGAGATGTACAAGACATTCGAAGACGCCGCAGAGAAGGGTAATAAATTACAAAAAGAGACTGAATAAGGGCAAAAAAAAAAAAAAAAAGAATGAGCGCCGAACAATATATTTTTTAGTGGGAATCAAACGCTTGCGTCCTCTAGGTATAAAACGCAGAAGAATGACAACAAAAATTCACCATTTTGAATACGCATCTCCATGGTTTGATAATCGGTATAGTTGACCACCCACTCACGCAAAACCATCGCCATCCCCTACCCCCCCCCCTTTTTCTCCCTCGTTCCCCTTTGGTTTGTTTTGACCTCCTTTGTATTTCTCTCTACAAGAAATCCGTTCAGTTCCATCTAGAATTCCTTTGATACAAAGGAAGTTATCTATAACTCCGAGTGTAGCGACGTTGCAATATTCAAGGAGAGATAGGAAAAGATAGAAAGGAAAGATAGGAAAAGAAAGAAAGAATAAACTCTGCACTCGCTGGCCTTTGCTGCGCATTCACTTTGGTTATTCAATAAATGACAATACTAGAATATTACGTTTTAGTACCGACATAGGTAGGTATTAGAATACGTCACTATGATAAAATTGGCCACCCAGTTTTTTTTTATGTCGTATCTGTTTTTCCGACTTAATTAGATAATAATAGCGCTGACGTCTACTAAAAAGGTCCACGAAATTCTTACTTATCTCTTAAATAATTATTTTTTTCTTTGCAGCCGACTATGATGTTAACAGAGGCTGAGTTCTACTGAAATATTCGATACACCAAAACGGACTGGATTGGACATTTCATTGTCACTATGGAACATTTACTTTTGATTGCTGCATGATTATCCGGTAGTTAAGCTTGTAAACGAGTTAAAAACTCTATAGCAATAAAACGTAATCTAAACGATGTCAGAATATAGGGAAATTTGATAACAACCCAGGAATGCTTATTTACACCCCTCGGCAAGAAGAAATCGTGGGAGTAAACTGTTTTACAGCGGTTTTCCCCAAAACAACACCCGGAGATAACACAACATATGATAAAAGTCTGGTGTGTCGAGGCTCTGCAATCTCTTAGTGCGAATAGCGGTGCTTAAGGGTACAACGTCGGCACCTTGTTTTTGATTGCGGTGTTTTTGAGCTTGAAAACGTAGATCTAGCTGACTGCATCCCATTCTGGTTTCATTGACAGATGTTCGCTTGTAGAGAGTTTTGATTGGTTACTATCGCGCAAACATGAAAATGGCAGCAGCGCTAATTTGTATATGGTTTCGTAATAAACATTTTTTATTCACTACTTGATTAAAGAAATCTCTAGCGAAGAAAAGCTATAATGTACTGACAAGACAACCCAAAAAAAATTTGAGAGTCGAACAAAACGATACAGATAGATAAAGAGACAAACGACACGTTAATAGTCTGTCAAGGATGATGTGAGCTTCAAATTGAAAGCACAGACACTAGTTGACAAAACCTGAAGCAAACTAAAAAGCTGAATATTTGATAAATACAAGATCAATTTTCAAAAATCCCTAAGCAAGTATTCCCCTCAGAAATGATATCTGTTGTTGTGCAAAGCAGAAATTTAGTCATCAATCAATTCAACTGGTTCATTTGTCATCAAATAGTTCAAACTCAGCTAACTTTGTTCCCAGTGTCAAGTCGGTTTCCATCATGTTAATAAGTTTTGAATACAGAAGCTCAGGTGCATTATTTCCAAATAAAAAGTCAGCGTGATTCCAGCCTTGAATCTCTTTGAAGTATTTTAGGTTGGTTATCCGGTCTTTTAGAAGTCGCACATCGGTCGGGCTGGCAAGTTTGTCATTTGAGCCCGAGAAGAGCGCGGCTGGAGTCTTCATGTCTTCTACGTGATACTCTGGAGCTTCAAGCTGATTTAAAAGACAAAGGGCATAAAATTGAGGAAGGAACAGGTGGTAAAGACTGAGTGCCTGACTGCAAGAGACTAGCGAGCCATACAACCGACTTATTGACCAACAGACCCACCCATTTGCCACCTGAATAAAAAGTATAGGGTGATGGCTTTCTGAGGATTGATTAACTCATTGATTTCCGAGCAAAACTCTAAATAATTTGGATATATCAACAAAGTTGAAATGGTAAATTGGCCACCGTAACGATTACAAAAGTTTCGAGCGTTAGCCCTTCGTCGGAGCGAATGGTTAACGCTCGAAATGTCAGCTTTTGTAATCATTACGGTGGCCAATTTACCATTTCAACTTTGTTGATATATCCAATTTATTTCGAAAAGGTTGTGAGTGTTTTCTGCCAAGTCACTGAAAACCTAAGGGTGTCATTTATAATTCTATATACTTCGGGTAGTAAAAGCAACTCATTAGACGAGAAACTGCTTTTATATCTTATTCCTTCTATTTACTCACACGATGCTTTCGACATTGCTAATCCTAAGAAGCCCGTTGGACATGAATTTAGTTCAGGCCTACATGAAGTTCAATACAGTGCTTTCCGTAACTGGTCGAGCGTTGCAGCGTAAAATCCAAGGGTCTGAGGTTCCGATCCTCTGGGGAAATGTGGATGTTTCCCCTTACCCACACTCGAAAAAGAACGAATAAAAATTTTCCAAATATTTATGATATAAAAGGATTCATCGTCCGTTTACTTCACTGAACTCAAAAGTAACTATCTTTCACTGGGCCTATATGATTTCTCTGCTCGGGCTCGACGCTAACACTAGCGACTAAAGCA